TCCACTAAGTGGGTCAAGGTGCGCAAACCTGATGGTGGCGCACGTTGTAGGATGGTGGGTGGCGGTTACACCCAACACATTGAAGACAAAGATGAGACTTTTGCCTCGACCCCTTCCTTGACCACACATCGGTTGCTTTTGACTTTGGCTGTAGCGAAGGGGTGGCATATCTCCATAGGAGACATTTCCACGTGGATGGAGACTTTTATGTCAGTCCGCCTCGGGAATTCTACCCGGAGGGACGCGCTTTGTGGAAGCTTAAGAAAGCCCTCTACGGGCCAAAGCACAGCCCGAAGCTTTGGCAACAGCACTTTGCATCGGTCATGCAGAAGAACGGCTTTAAACAAGCGCATGAAGTCAGACCCAAACCTTTACGTTCATGAGCGCAAGCAACTTTACGTTCTTGCCTACGTGGACGACTTGATGCTCTTTGGTTCGAAGGCTGACGTTTTCACTGTTATTTCGTACCTTCAGAAGGACTTGTTGTTTAAGGTGACAGGTACATTGGACGGAGGTGACAGTGCAATGTTCCTAGGCCGGAACCTGAAGAGGACATCAACTTTCATCTCTGTAGGCGTGAGCCCATCCTACATTGATGCTATGCTAGAACTTGACGGTTTGAAGCAGTGCCGTCAGGCACTTGCGCCAGGATCTGACGCTTTGAGAAAGAGCCTCAACTGTGAACCTTTAGGACCCGAGGATCACAGGCGCTACCGGCGCGCTGTGGGCCAACTTTTGTGCCTTTCGAGCGTGCGCCCGGACATCATGTACGCTGTCAAGGAGCTGAGTCGAGGACTTGCCGGAACCAAGGACTTTACACAGAAACTTCAGCCAACACTTTCCCTTTCACCGCAGCGCAAAGCAATAGATATCAACATTTACGTTGATAGGGATTGGGCCGGGTGCCACGACACCCGCCGATCTACTTCAGGAGTCTCTTTGTTTGTGCTCGGGGCGAAAATACTTTCGCACAGCAGGACCCAGGCCAATGTGGCCCTCTCCAGCGGAGAGGCTGAATTTTACGCGATTGGGCCTGGGAGCGCAGACGCACTTTTCGTGAGATCCCTTGTTGAGGAGTCTAAGCTTTTCCAGAAGGCAAACCTTTGCGTCTTTACAGTGTTGCCTCACGCTTTGGAGCAAGCCGCAAGACCAAGCATGTGGAACTTAGGTACCTTTGTGTTCAAGAGCTGGTTGCATCAGGCATGGTACGTATCAAGAAGGTGCTTGGAACTTTGAACCCGGCGGATGTACTTACTAAGTATATTGCGAAGGATATTATTTTGCACCGCCGCCCTTCCTACTTTTGGGTTTGAGGTTTGACCTGCCTTTGCGGGTTTGCGGCTTTGCCACTCGTCACTTTTCCCAAGAAGAACCCAGATAAAAAGAAGAGACTTTGAGAGCTGAGAGAATCACGTTCTGCGGACATGTACTTTTGCTGGCTTGTGCGGACATGTGACTTTTCATGTACACTTGTCATGTCACTTAATTTTGCTTGTGCAGTTCGACATGTCTTCAACTCGCGCTCTTCGAAACTTTTCCCTTTCTCCTGAACAAGAATTTTAAGAATTTTCTACTTTGGTTTTCCGTGTTCCAGTTTTCCCCAACCGAAATGATGAAACTTTGCCGCGAAACATTTTTCCGGATGAGGTGAGTGACTTTTCCGATGATGATTTTCCGGTGTGAATGCACCACTTTTAATGTACATATATCAGCTCACTTGACTTTCCGTTCAGGGTTTTCGTTTTGTCGTGGGTTTTGCTTTAATTGTGCGCCTCTTCGCCACAGACTTTTCACTTTACCTCGGTCGTTCGCTCGCTTTGGCGCACAACGGCCTCTGACTTTTGTTGCGACTGCAACCTGCCTGGAAGAACTTTCAGAGATGGCCGAAGAAGAGCCTACTTTGGAAGAGGCCGAGCCCACTTTGGAGATCATACTTTGGCGGCAGAGGAAGCCGCTGAGGCAGAGCCGGTTGAGCCTCCACTTTCGAGTGGGAGTTGAGGTTGCTTCGCCTACTTTTTCGGCGAGCAACGCGTGAGCCACATTGCGTGGCCCACACTTCGGGGAACTGTAGCGGACCAGGTGAGCCAGTCCGGGTGGACATTGATCCACTTTGACTTTGAGCGAGCTGGTCGAGCGGCCCCCGCGGCCGGACTTCGCGGTGGGGCGGAGAGCATTTCTCACACTTTGCCTTTGGACCCTCAAAGCACTTTTGGGAACAGCGGCAGCAGCAACTTTTGCGTTGCTACATTATCACTTTGTCCTGCGAGCAGTGCGGAAGTGGATCCGCACTTTCCTGCGACTTTGGAGCCGCCGCCACGGCGCCTAAGCCCGTGCCTTTGAAGGACTTTCCGCCTACCATCGAGCGGCCAAGGCCAGGGCATGGCTTTCAGCAGTTCAGCAAGCAACTTTCATGCCTGACGTTAGCACCTTTCGGCTTCTGGAGCACTTTGCAGCTCATGTTGGAGATACTTTTCACTGGACGGCAGATGGATCAACTTTGGAGACCTGGATCTCCATTTCCTGGGAACTTTCACATGACGATGACCATTTTGTTTCCTGGGACGGCTCCGGTGAACCAGTCTTTGGACGGCGCCGGAACTACGTGGTTGCTCGAAGTCAACTTTGTTGGGTGTTCCAGGCACAGCCTGGGGCACTTTACCGGGGAACCCCGATGGATGGTCCCCGTTTATGCTTTATTTGACTTTACCGCTTGCAACTTTTCAGCAGGCACTGGCCGCAGCGCAGCAGACGGGTCACTTTGTGACTCGTCACAGTGATGTTCAGGGTACACTTGACAGGTGCCTGAACCTTTCACTTTTGCCACGGTCGGCGTATCTGTTCTTTGTTTTTCAGCTAAGTATAATGCAAGCCGAAGGTGTGCAGTACACTTTTCCTGCAGATGCTGAGATCTGTACTTTTGGCTTCAGGCCAACGCAACAGTGGCTGGCACTTGACTTTGGCTCTGGGCGTGCCAAGATGTGGAGTCGACGTTATCTGATAAGGGCGGAGAAATTTGAGCTGCCAATGGATCCAACATGGCCCACTTTTATCTGTGTTCGGCACTTTCAGGGGCCATATCAACTTGTATCGGATCTCAACCGGTACTTTGATGATCCAGCATGCCGCCACTTTCGGTTGATGCACCTTCCTGAGCTGCCTCAGGTGTGTCAACTTTCCTACGACCTACCGAAAGCCTGGGTTCCACTTTCTGGTGCAAAGCCGTCGACTTTGACTCGACCAGCGCGGCTTTAGATGGCCACTTTTCGCCCCTTTTGGGTTGGGCCCGGCGTTGCCATGGGCTTTGGCAACTTTGCTGGTCGCTGCACTTCAATGGGCCGACACCATGCTGCACTTTGCTGTGCCATGGAAGCACACGACGCTTTTGGGCACAACGATGGCAACTTGGTCGCTGCACTTAAATGGGCCGACATCACGTGCGCCACGAACTTTTGTGGAACGCAACTTTGGATGGTGTTGAAATAGCACTTCCCCTATTCTCCCCGACTTTACCACATTCGTGGCTCAAGACACTTTGCCCCTGCAGAGAAAGGCGCTGCTGAACTTCAGGGCTGACTTTGGTGTCTCAGTTGAGTGAGCTTGTGCACGGATTACTTTAGGGTAGTGTGGTGCGCATTCTGTACTAGTGTACTTTCGCAGTGTATGTATGTGTATGTATGTGTTTGTCTGTCTGTATGTATGTATGTATGTATGTATGTATGTATGTATGTGTGTGTGTATGTGTTTATGTATGTATCTATGTACGTCGGTACCCATGTGTATGTATGTATGTATGTATGTATGTATGTATGTATGTATGTATGTATGTATGTATGTGTATATGTATATGTAAAGTTATATGTTTTTTCAGTATATGTATATGTATATGTATATGTATATGTATATGTATATGTGTATGTGTATGTGTATGTGTATGTGTATGCGTATGTGTATGTGTATGTGAATGTGTATGTGTATTATTTGTGTGTATGTATGTATGTATGTATGTATGTATGTATGTATGTATGTATGTGTGCGTATGCATGTATGTTTGTTTGTCTGTATGTATGTGTAGGTGTATGTGTGAATGTATTCAAGTGTGTGCATTTGTGCATGCGTGTATGTGTGCGTATGTATGTATGTATGTATGCATGTATGTATGTATGTATGTATGTATGTACGTATGTACGCATATATGTATGTATGTATGTCAGGACATATGTATGTATGTATGTATGTATGTATGTATGTATGTATGTATGTATGTGTATGTGTGTATGCATTTGTGTGTGCATGTGTGTATGTGTGTATGTGTGCAAGACCCCTCCACGTGTCTCGATTTCTAATGACGTCACAAAATTGTACTCGCAAGCATCCCACTCCGTTAAGTACCTCCACGACTATTTCGAAGCACCCGGCCATGAATTTAAAACGCAAGCTTTGAGTAGACTAGCAAATCGTCTTTGCGATCGTGCTGTATAGCTATGAGTCACAGACGTATTCTCAGGCAAACCTCATCAAACTCGACAAGCTACATTGTAAGGCTTTGCCACACTGTGAGGCTTTCCCGTAGTTTCACTGTCAAAAGCTTTTTGCTTCACTAAACACTCGACCCTCGACGCAGAGAGCTGCAATGAGTATCTATCCCAATTGGTTTATGCAAATACGCACCTAAATTACTGGCTCCTTCCCGAGACAGAATTTCGTCTAGGATCTCATACCTGGGCCATTACAAAATTTCGGCAAGCCGATTCATTGGAGCATTCGGTAATTTTCGCACGCGTACCGAAAGCTACCTAGACGCCGACCGGGCCACCCTCAGTTACATTGGTCCGATCCGACGACGCAGGCATAACATAGACCGGCCTAGATACACCGTGAAATATATCATCACCCGACCGGGGCTCAAGTTCACTCCAAATATGTCGGTATTACAGATTTTAGATTGTCCCTGTCGTTTGGGCTCAGGGCCCAGGGTTGGATACCCGTGACTCCTGGGAAAGTTGCTTATGTTATGGACTGAGAACTCGTGGAGTCGTAGAGCTACAGTCTGTGCCAGATCTGGATGTAACAGCTCGGGTTGTTGCAAAGGACGCCGAATAGTACGGTTCCAGGAGCCCTCGTCGTGTCTCCGGTGGGCTCGGCTTCGAGCTGATTACTGCTGGTGGCATCCTGGTGCAAGGACCAGTTTTTTTCCTGCTTGGCAGCGTTTTAACTTCCTTTGACATTGTGTCTATTGGCAGTTGGATGCTGCACTTCCTGGCGGCATTCAGACTGGACAAGTCTTAAATGCAGCTTTGTGCTTTGAACGCAGCGGACTTCAAGCGTAGACGGCATGAAGTCGGACACATCGCAGCAAGCTGTAGTGTTGAAGCAGTTAGAGCCGCGAGACAGTCCAAGTTCTCCCTTCCGAGGCTCCGGCGGGCGCGGGCGTTTGCTCCGCCTCTCTGCGGCCACGAAGCGGGAGGCGCAGCCTGGCACTCGGCAGAGCTCTGGGCTCTGTGTGCGGCGTTTTGCGTATCCGGTATGTCTATCAATGTGCACGGTGCCTGTTGCTGGGTTCGTTTCTTCGCAGCTGCGAAGTGCCTGCTACTCGGGATTCGGGAGAGTTGAGCGTCGCATGTGTTGCAGGCAGAGGTATTCGAGTCCTTCTGCTGAGTTCTGAGGTCGTGGCGTCATCTGCTTGAAACCGTTGCCGAACAACCAGGACCGTGAGCAAGTGCTATCTATCAGGGCATTAGCCGTAGCTGGGTAAACACTCGCACATCGATACCGACCAATCTCAGAGGCAGACTCTTGCAAGACTCTTGATCCACGATTGAAGCCCTGCCGTGATTTCTGGTAGCATTGCTAGGAGCCGGTTACGTCACAGTTTCGCAGGTTGCGAGCCGCACACCTGGATTGGCTGTGTGAGACAAACCATATGGAGGGCGGCAGCATAGAGGCATCACGGAGTTCACTCCTCCTTTGAAAAAACGCAGGCAGTGAGAAGTCCTGTGCAGCGGCTCAAAGTGGGGATTGACTGCCAAAGTGCGGCTGATTGCCTCTGTGCCTTCTAGGCTCGATGGAGCGCCTGCTCGGATGTCTTAGAGCGAGCAGTAGCAATGTGGGCGAGAAGATGCTCAGACAAAGTATGTAAACGCCAACCCAGACTTCAAAAGCCATCGCCCAACCGTATGAAACTGGGACCTTGAAGGGGTTAACTGTAGAGCTCGCTGACGATCCCGCGAGTATGCATCACAGAGGGCGCTGATGCTGGCCTTCTGCGCGCCGGCCACTGGCACCAAGGAGCAGTGATGCTTTAACGGGGTTTGTGCTTGTCAGCGCCTCCGGTCGGCCGCGGTCCCTTTGTAGTGCTGTGCTGCTCCGGTCCCGAGGTTGTCAGCTCCTTTTCACCCGTACAGCGCCGACCCAGCTTTGTGGGCTTGAACCATGTCTCTAAATTGTATCGGTCTAACTACCGCCACTCATGTGCAGCCTGAGAGCAACTAGATCTGTTGGAACCTGACAAGACCCAGCAATCCACAGCACGCAGAACTCCTGAACATAGCCTGAGACAGACCAGGAATCAGCAATGCAAGAACTTTGTATAATTTGGAGCAGTGAAAACAACTGTGTATACTTTGCAGCCCTGAGAGAACAGCCAGAAGTGCTGCAAATTGCAGCTTTTCGAGCTGGATAGCAGCAAGTATGGACACAGCTTGCAGCCCGAGAACACATCTGGACATCCTGCAGTTCACAGTCAGAGCAAAGAGCTATCAGAAATGCTTCTGACTGGGAGGGATGAGGCCAATCACGGCATTTGCAGTGGAGCAAGACGGGTCACCAACCTTTCTAAGGAAGATTAAGGAAGTCAGCGTTACCCCAACGTTTTTCGACAAACAGCAACCTCAGCCTCCTCGCAGATGGAAGATGCACGCTGCTAAGCAGGAGGAGTTCGCAGTGCTTACACAGAAACTTGCGACAGTGCCAACGTCTAAGCCACGGATATGTCTTGTTGGGAACCTTATCAAGGTCGACCTAAGCGGAAGCCTCCGGGGCTGGTGTTGGCTTGTTTTTTTTTTAAAGCAACACAACCAGCATACGAGTCTCAGAAGAGAGGAGTCCCTTTCCCCCGTAGTAGGATCCTAATAAATCTCCCTAGTTTCGGGGCCTTAGTCAGTACCCAGCAAAATTCCTGGAGACTAAGCTCCTCATGTCATAAACCCAAAAAATAGAGTGATATAACGTAAACCGCCCTGGAAACATTTAGCGATGCAGGCTCTTCGGACTTGCCGTCCTTCACCCTGTCTAAAGCCCGAAAAGAAAGACACCAGGCGCCGCTGCCGATGCCAGCGGCGCCAGTTCACAGCGGCTCCCCTTGGTGTGTGACAACATCGAGGCACCGACCTGAGCTTGGCAGGGACGATGAGTTCGGTCTTTTATCGGGCAGTGCATCGCTAAAGTCTAGCGAAGCAGGTCTTTGGAGCTCATGATCCTCTCAGCACTCGCCACGGCCACCCACTTGCGGCGCATCTCGCTGAGAGCGAAGTTGCTGGGACCGGCACGTAAGCACGTGAACTTCAGCTTTGAAGACACTGAAGTTGGGTTGTTGGGGACGCCGTATAGCTCTGTCTTCATTGTGTGCTTCAGTCTTGCGCTGGTGGGCGGACGTGAGTGCGAGATTGCGCATCTCTCATGTCTTGCATAGCTTTTGCCGGGGAGTCGATTGCTTAGAGTGTGCCGGCAAACTTTGCTGGGGTGACCAAGCAATACACTTGCAATGCCTTCATCAGCGTGCCCGACTATCAGGTGGAACGACAGGAATGCTGGCCACGGGGTCGAGCTTATCCAAGACGATGCGATCGCGAAACGTATGGACCGGTGCAAGCCGTGTTGCTTTGCACTGAGGCTGCGCATGCAAGTACTTTAATTTGTCCGATTAACTCACAGGGCCATGTGATACAGAATGTAGGCGCATGCAAGGGCAAAGTCACGTGAAGCCTTGCATCAGGACATTAGCTTGCTCAAGTAGAAACGCACCTCGCACGATGGCGGCACATCGCTCATCCAAACATTGACGCGTTTGCTTCAGAGTTTGGGGCGAACAAGCAGTGGGCCTCATCCGAAAATAAGAAGGCCGAATATGTTTCGGCCCAGCTGGGAGTTGAGTGAGCTAACACGACGTGGCCGAGGAGGGAGGCCAAAAACAGCGCGCACGTGCATAAATGTGTGTGTGCGTACTTATGTATGCACTTCTTGAATTTTCAACCATATATATATATATATATATTTCAATGCATTTATTTACAGACTGACTGAAGCACACAAGCGTGATTGCAAGAAAAAGTACTTAGTACCTACAATCACAACATGCTTATTCGACATTTCATGCAAACATGCAGTTGCTTACTCTTAACTATTGTTGAATGAGCAGACTAGCCACCGCTCAGTAGCACTCAGTAGCTCTGTCTCGGGACAGGTCAGAGAAACAAAGGTGATCCAGTCGGGCCCAGCGTTCATGAAGCTGCGTGCCTGAGAGCTACACCCGCCGCGGAAAGAGGTAGATGTCGCACAAATGCCTGCCAGCATGCCAGGGTCTTGACACTCACAGGGATGGGGTGGCTTTGGCTTGGAATGTGCGAGACAGTGCTTTTGGACCTGGACCCTGCTCGCATGCAGAAATGCCAGAGATTGAAACCATGGAGATGATGCGAACGAGGCTGATAATGACAACGAGGTCTCGGATGTGCCAACAGTCAATGGGATGGGTCGCGACCCTCGTAACTGTCGTCGTTCTGTGATATGGACTGTCGTAAGTTTATTGATCTTGATATCGCGTGAGTAGGGACTCAAAGACACCTGCACTCACAGCGAGAAGAGTGGATTGAACAAAGCCAAACCCACGCCCATCCACAACATCCGTTCCTGTTTTCACCCATGGATACAGACCCAAGTCGGAATCGGGGACCCAAACCCACCCATACCATGCTCATAGATAAGAGTGGTTTCCATGAGCCCGAACCCCAACCCTCCATTCCCACAGCCAGTCTCTGACCTTGGGGGCGGACACCCGCAGAAACAAGAAAGCAAGCCCGAAGCCAATGTAATGTATGCATATATATATATAGAGACACACATATACACACACACACACACACACACACCTAAATATACACGGACGCACATACAGAGGTAGATGGAGGGAGAGAGAGAGAGTGTGTGTGTGTGTGCCCTCTCTCTTGACTGAAAGTCTTATGTAGTTTTACGGGATCATGAGATCTCAAGGTGAACGGGGGATTTCTGCAGTGGCGGCATGTTTCTGGCACGACAGGGGGAATGGCTGAAAACACATGCTGATATCAACCTCGTTTCAGCCACATACTCCATCGTGTAAACTTTCACACCCCTCCAACAAGCCTGCAAACGAATGCGGGTGGGCGAAATGCCCGGGGGCCTAACCCGCGCTCAACGCCTGGGAGAGAGAGAGAGAGAGTGCGTGTGTGTACATGGCTACATATGATATGTATGTCAGTGTGCATGTGTGTTCATGCACATAGGTGAGGAATCTGCAAGAGAATATCTTGAGGTTCCCCTTACCGACCCTTTTCGTGCCCAAGGTTGTGTGCACGTACAGCCGGGGATGCATTGTCGTGGCGGTTCAACTCTTGTACTGTTTGCATGAGTACCCACATCAACCGTCGACGAAGAACCCGTACCCAGATGAGTCGCATGCAAACTCCCAAAAGGACCACTACACGCGACCGGAGGGCCACTGCATAGTGGTTTCGGATGGGCCCATTGCTATGGCGGACCGAGGTGCTCGTGCAGCGAGGGCTGGGGAGGAGTGAGAGATCTTACCGTGCCGACAGCTGCCCAAGTCGCTATATCATGGGGCGAGGGTTCCAATGCTCTGGCGGGTGTTCAGGCATTCGCTGACAGTTTGCCACAGACTATAACACTCGGGCTAACGATGTACGATAAATCCTACGACATCCTACGGCATCATACGGCCTTGTGATTGCAAAGCCAACAGCGAACACGCTGACGGAATAAGCAAGGACAGGACAAAAGTCTAGGCTGAACAGAATGGACTACAGCCCTCTCGGTCCAGGCGGGTGCCGCGACTACTACACGGAGGTAAAGATCGAGTTCCTTGGGGTGATTTCGTGTGGTTGAACAAAACTGCGAGCTGTTTTTGGAGGGCATAGCGGATGGTCCAATCGACCAGCATGTCCCAATGTCTATTTACAACCCCAAGTCTTCGCATCCATGTATACGAAGCCTAATCCGAGATCAAGTTCCTTGGCTTGTGTGGACACGGGCTCCCCAGCGAGTGATCGTGGCAAAGGTTTCGACTCTTCGATGCCGGAGATGAGAACTTGCACGGAAACCTATTCTTGATATGCCGGCCATATCCCTGCTGTTGAACATGGCGAACATGGTGTCACGTTTCTGTAAGGTTAAGCACAGCTGGTATTCTTCTCAAGACGCGACCCGGATGACGAAGTCTTGCTGAGGAGTGATGTGGACACCTGGTCTTCCGGCCTGGACATGGGCGTCACGCGCCTCTGCCCAGAAGAGATCGGGAAGCTGAACGAGCAAGGCCCAGGGTCCCGAGGGCAGAGGTCGCCGACTCCGCTGCCCACCCGGCAGGTTTGTGCTGGGCCGACTTCCCTGACACTTGGGTCTTACGCGGCCACGCAGTTGCATTTCTCCTGCTGAGCATTAATTAGTTTTAATATGTCTAGATCGGAAATCTGGGTCCTTGCGGCAAGCATCTTAGTTGCACAGCGCAAGAGAGAAGGGCTGTTGTTGACCATTAAGTCGCAACGGGAACGCTGCAGAAGTGAAGAGATCGAACGCGTGCCTAGCTGGGAGACTGCTAGAATGAGCGGGCGCCTCCTGAACCGCAGCATCAGCCGTTCCTGGAAGAAAGTCCTGGTTGGGCTATGGCGTAGGCCTTTAAGAACTAGCTGTATCCAAACTCGACATCTCGACACCAGAAGACCTCTTGAACACCCTCCTGAAGAAACCATCCTAGGTGATGGAATGCTCCGCATCAACGGTCGCTCTTATCCGCCAGGCAGCGGATGCAACAATCTCCGATACGGTGCTTTTCTAACCCCCATCGTCTATCAAGAAGGGCAGGTAAGACAGAGGGACCTTCACACTAAGCTGGGCCTCGCGGTCGCTCCGTCTGTTGAACCATGCGTGAGGAGTGTTGCCCAGTCGTGCGGCAACTCTTGCTGGTTGGAATACAGCCACTCTTGATGCTTGCCTCTATCTGTTCTTGGGAATTCTTGGACTTGTTGCAGGGGTCGTTGTCGGATTTGAGAGGTGTCTGATGCGGGTGCTCTGTGTTCCGCGGAATGAACCCATCAAGTATACCATCAAGTATACAACATGAGCTTATTGGAGAACTGATGGTTCTTTCATCTTCAGCTTGATAGCGCCGTCGCATGCCTTTCAGCTTAGAGGCTTCTGGGTGCAGGTGACTTTAAGCATTGGGTGTGCCAGCCAGTGAAGGCTAAAGTGTTGTGATCGGAAGCTCACACCAGTCTGTCAATCGGGCTTACGCACCGGCTTGTCCATTGCACTCGCTGTAAGACTGAAACCGCCTTCGCCCAAATCCGGCCCTACTCCGTCTCGTGAACCGAATCTTAGGCTTGTGCAGTGCAATGCATCTGTGGGTTGTTTTAATGCTCGACAGCTTATTGTTTGGAGAGACTAGCCATTGCCTTCCGGTCGGCGAGCCCGTTCTGACCCATTCGCCAAAAACCACCAAAACTGTTGATGGAATGACTCCTGGGCAAGCCGCACTTGTGCAATTGCTGCTTCCGGTAAGGCGGCTGCTTCGGGTAGTGTGGCTGTTTTTCCACATCGCAGAGTTGCCAATGCTGACTAACCGGTTCGGCGGAGATTGTCGTAGTGTCGAGAGATGAACTTGCTCCTTTCGAGGTCCTTGCTCTCTACGCACTGAGATCGCTGACACTCCTTTCCGTCTTTGCTTGTCATCGTGTTCCATCGTTCGTAAGATGTCGGATGCATAGCCTCGGGTGACCGCAACTGTCAGAGACGAGGGACTGCATGCAAGAATGCAGCGGCAGGTGTCGAATGTCAGGTTCCCCGGCCAAAAAAGCTTTGTCACGGAATTTTGGAGTGGTCGCTGTTGTGGCAGCTGCAGAACACAGTGAGTTTGTGTGGAGAATCTACGGATGACGTCCCTGCGACTGCAAGCCATATTGATCATATTGGGGTTTAAGCATCAGCGGCACATTTTATTCCTAACGCATGCACACGGTCGTCGACGCGCTTACTAGACCACTGATGTGTCGCTGCAGTCAGGAAGACTGCATCAACACGCTGTGTTCCCCTTGACTTTGAGGAAATCGGTGACACCTGCGGGCTCCAGGCACTGCTCCCGGGAGGGCTCTAGGAGCTGCCCTTGCTCCGAGACGGAGTCGACGTTTCTCTGCCAGGTGACCGGCGGAGGTTCAGAGCTCGTGGGCTACAGGACACATGCGAAACGCGCAGCTAATGCTCTGCACGCATCTGCACGCGACACGGCTGAAACGGGCGGCCTAGGGAGTGCAGTTTAATGCGAAAGCACATGTTTACACGACATCCTGTACTTCGCTGCAAGCTCGCCCTCGGGTTTTTCGAAGCTTGCATTACTTGTTCGCATATGTTCCATCTTGCAGCCGGCAGGAATGGTGAAGTTGTCGGCCGTCTCAGGCTGGAGGATGGAGTCAAGGCCGGCGCGGCCGTTGCAACTTTGAGCCCTTGTTGAGAACAACTTCCGGACGTGGGAGGTGCCCTTGGATGCTGAGCTCTACCTTGTAGCCGACATTATCGGCAGAGCCGGGGAGGCTAGGACAAGTGCAGTTTAAGTAGTGTTCGGATCTCCTCGTTTTGTTTTGCAGAGGTTCCATGACGGTCTTTGCATATTTCGCACCTAGAGTCTATCAGCCCGCAGGCTTCGGGTCAAGACAGCACTTAGACAGTGCATGGACGGAAGCCTCCAACGCCTATCTTCGAGAGCCTCAAAGCCCAAAGGTGGAGATCCTGGACTGCAGTGTGCCCGGCTCTTCTGCACCGTCCATTACGTCCACACCGCCTTTTGGGGCCGCAACAGTGTCACCGGATGTGCCAACTCCTGCAAGCGTCTACGCATCGCCGCTCGTGCGCATTATTGCAAGCGGTGTCTTTTCCTTGGGACTGGCAGGGATCTGCAACCCTTGCAGTGTGGCGTGTTGCCGTGACTTAAATTGTGGCATACAGACAGTCACTTTACATACTAATGTTACTAATGCTGACCCGTAGCTTTTCCTGCTCGTGCTGCAGCTGCTGCTGCTGCTGCTGCTGCTGCTGCTGCTGCTGAGCCTATTGTAATTTTTGCTTCTGCAGCAACCACAGCCACGACCACCACCACAACCACCCCGATCATTACAACAGCAGCATCTATACCACTACTATCGCTACCACGGGATGCTTCTCTTCCTGCTGGTGTTCCCTACGATAACGACTCCTGTTGCTGCTGCTGCAGCTTCTACAGCTGGAATAGCTAGAGACGGTGCTAGGCGGCTGCTAGCGTACTAGTTGCTCCTGCCCCTGCTCCTAGTCCTGCTACTATTACTGCTGCTACTACTACTACTACTACTACTACTACTACTACTCCTGCTGCTGCTGCTGCTGCTGCTGCTGCTGCTGAAACTGCGACTGCGATTACGACTCTACTACTACTACTACTACTACTACTACTACTACTACTGCTGCTCCTACTCCTACTCCTACTCCTACTCCTACTCCTACTCCTACTCCTACTCCTACTCCTACTCCTACTCCCACTCCTACTCCTACTCCCACTCCTGCTGCTGCTGCTGCTGCCACGCTGCTAGTAGTGCTAGTGCTACTAGTACTACTAGTACCACTTGTACAACTGGTGCTACTAGCATTACTAGTATTAGTATTACCTGTACTATTAGCATTATCAGTACTATTAGTATTACTGGTACCACCAATACTACCAGTATTACTAGTACTACTAATACTACGCCTACTATTCTGCTGCTGCTGCTGCTGCTGCTGCTGCTGCTACTACTACTACTACTACTACTACTAGTACTACTACTATTATTCCTACTGCTACTACTGCCACCAGCAACGGTGTTTGCTTCTATCAGCCACCAACCTCCAACCGTCAACCACAAACCAGCCTCCAATACTCAACCACCAACAGTGAGTACCACCAATCAACAACCAACCATCAGCAACAGCAGCAGCAACAGCCACATTAACAACAACAACAACAACCACAACAACAACAACAACAACAACAACAGCAACACTAGCGGCGGTGGTGGCGGCGGCAGCAGTAGCAGCACCAGCAGCAACCATCAAGCAATCCAGCAACACCGGCAACAGCAATAACCACTGCTGCTCCTACCTATACCACTGCCGCACTGACATCCGAAAAGTCGTGGCAAAAGATGCCTCATCTCTCTGCAGGATTTGGTCTATCATGCAGCGACGACCGCCGATGTACCGTGATCCGCCTGAGCTGCCATAGCTGTTTCCTTTTCGCCAAGCTGGAGATTTGTTTCCGCTATTGGGAAATCTTACGGTCTTACGGCGAATCGTACTCGTGAGCATCCTTCAGAGTGGCACATGCCTGCAAGCTCTTCGTGTTTCAATTTTCCCGAAGCAGCAGAAGGCTTCCCTTGCAAGGGTGCGGGGGATCAGATCTCGTTGCCTCAGCTTTAGAGGATGCGAGCGTTCCCAAGTGGCTCTGAATCCTCTGAGCTGCCGTGTTGTAGACAATCCAGGCCCGTGTCGCGTCGCAAACTCATGCCTGTATTTAGAGAATATTGAGACTCTGAAAGACGACCTTGGGCTCGTGTCCTGACGTTTCGCATCTGAGATCCTGTTTCGGATGTCAGATTTGGATGGTGAGACGAGCAGGTAGCATCGGGGACCTCAAGAGTCGCGGGAGTTTGGATAGCTACATGACTGATGAAGCATCAGTGCACGCTTCCCTGACTAGACACAGATAAGTGTTGCAAGGCCTACAACCTGTCGAGCTGTGTTTGTGCCACAGTCGTTTGGATTGCACATTTTCTCTCCGGCTCCTTGTGGCAGTCACACAAGCGACATGTGACTGCTCAAGTTTCGCTGCATGGGATGCCTGAGCAACAAAAGATTTGGACCAGTGGATGGCCGACAGCAGGGGCTTCTCCTCCCAAAGAGCGAACCGGTACCGTGGTCATGTCCGATCTCTTGCAGCCAGAGTGTCCAACTAGCCTAGCTTTGATGCGCGCTCGTTGTGGCAGTCTAACAAGTGTCAGCATAGTTGTCGCAGGTTATGCGACCAATCGAATATGTGAAGAGGAGGGGAACAGAAGATGCCTCAAGGTTCCCGACAGTGCAGCCCTATGCTTGCTTGCTTTAACATAGGGCTGCACTGCTTGAGACACACTGGGAACATGTAAGGGGCCGGTTCTGTGGGGCACGAGCAACAAGACCTTCTCTACTGTTTGCAATCTTGTGTGCTGCCAGCATCACTCTGGCAGCTCGATGCGCCAGTCGGCATGTTGATACCTAGTTTGATACCTAAACTGCACACTCACGGAATCTCACGGACACAGAAAACTTGCAAAGGCAATGCGGTAAATGAAAAAGTTGGCGCCACCACGAAGAAATCAAGTCATGAAGCCGCCCACCTGCACCAGTGCGCCAGCATGAAAAGGGCGCACTTCAGCCATCGCTGCAGAGCGAGCCCTGGAACGGGTGCGACAACAACTGATCAAAACTCTTACAGGCTTACAGGGTTCCCGGGGCCTTTATCAGATTTCGAAGCGAAGGTCAAGGGGGGCGAAGTCCGTCAAAGCAGACGCTCTTCTGTGCAGCTGCCCCGCCACGTGTTTGAACTGAGAGAATGGGTGACCGCATACTAAGTGTGCCAAGCCGCATGTAGCCGAGCTAAACGAAACTCAAGCCCTTGGAGTCGTGGCGAAGTGTGGCAGGCGGCTCACGGAGAGCTGTCAGCCTTCAGCAGGCGCTGCGCTGCAGTTTGCTTTGGGGTCGCTTCCAAGCCTCTGCGCCGCAGGCCGCGCGACGCCCTCGAGGCATCTCCACCGGCTCGGAGCAGAGACACAAGAATCGATGTTTCTGCTCCGGCACCGAAAGACAGATGCCGAGGTCTTCTCGTGGAAGCTTTCGGACTTCGCGACGTGCCGTGTCGGCTTCGGGACACTGGCTGACTTGCAGCGCGGCGCGGCACCTCCCTACCCCACACACCCAAACGCCTTGTGCCGCGCTTCGTCCATTTCACCCGCAGCACTGGTTTGCGGCCAGGAGCTTCGAGCTCCGACGGCGCGAGGGAGACGGAGATCCTGCTGAGCCGGAGACATGGCACTTCACCTGCCAGGACAGGTCTAAAAAATCCGGAAGCTGCTGTTGCAAGTGAGTGATGTTTGGGAGGCCACGAATCTGGACACAACTCTGTCACAGAAGAAGGCGAAAGGAGGATCGCTCATCTGTTGGTAACTGCCAAGGAATTAACAAGCCTGGTTGCATTCATTACTTCCGCCTTTATTGAAAGGAATTAAACGCTGAGGAACTTCATCAAGACAGAAGACAGACACCTCAATCGCTCCTGGGTTGGGGCTGGAACTTTGGCGTGCTGCTACTACTACGGGTGCACGTGGGGAACCGGGGAGATCGAAAGCAATGTTCCGAGCAAGAGGGTTTGGGAGACCCTGAATTCGCGCCTGGCGTCATGTCTATGTTGACGATGCGTTTTCAGTTGGCATGGGTAGGATCTTCCAGCCTACATGAGTCAGTGCACGTTTTCCGTGGTGGTTGTATGTCGCTTTGTGCGAACATGATGGTCCTTGCGGTGGATCTTCGCGACTTGTAAGCTCGCGCAGAAAAGCTTGGCCAGAATCGTAAATGGACACTCCGAGTGACCAGGACGTGTCCGATGCGCCTCGGTGGGTGGAGCTCCTGTCCCAGACGGCAGAAGTCCTCGAGGTAGGACCCCACATGGCAGTGGCCGAAGAGGCCAAGGCCACGGCATTGCCGGAAGCAACGGTAGAACGGTTTAGGGCTTCGGGTCACTGAAGCTGTTGGCGACGAGGAGGTGGCACATTCTGCTGCGTAGTGTATCACGTGATCCGAAATCTGTGTCACCGACGTTGGGGCTTGCATCAAACGGTCTGACACGTCACAAATTCGTTTGAGTTTGTGCAACACACTCGGGGTTCTTTCATGTTTTCAGCACCGTTCTTGTCATTGCTTGGCATCACCTCTTGTCTCTCAGCCATCAATTTTTGTTTGCCGTTGTCACCTCTTTCTTTGTGCTCCCACTGACATTTTTCAGTCCTGTTTCTGGCCTGTGTCCCTTGTCTTCCACCGTTTTTAATCCGCAGGTTTGGTTGCAGCGACTGCGTGATGTAGAGAGAGAGAGAGAGAGAGTGTGTTGTGTAATGTTTCTTGCCATGTTTTGTCATGCGACCGTGGGTTTGCTATCATGTCCGTGCAATTGTGCGATAGGTTTGGCATGGCATTTCTCTGACAGTTTCCTGTCGTCGAGTGCTTTGGTCCTTGTACAAAGGCTCGCGATCGCAGTAGACTACAACGGAAGAACTTAGTGCCACAATGGAACGGCCAAGGCACACCTTGGTTAAGGTGCAAGGGAACAGTGTAAACACAAGCGGAGAGCACGCAGCAACAAGACCTGCAAATGTCATGCTGGCGGAAGGCCGCATGAGCAGCGCGCACTTTGCGAACCAACTTTCCAGCCCCAAGCCAAGCAAAAGAGCCCGAATAACTCTTCGAGTTCTTCGGGCACTGCCGAAATGCAGGGGTTCGCTGTGCCAGGCCGTCGAAGGGCGCTCGGTACTGGAGTTGCCTGCAAGGATACTCGAGGAGGCGCTCGCCATGTCTTCCACTCTTAGTTGCTCCGAGTTTCACCTGTTGGTCTCACGTTTCCGTGGCTCCTATATCACACGTGCAGCGCAGAGAAGTTTCCTTGCAGCCTTGGACAAAGTCTGCTCAGACTTCGATTGTTGCCATAGAGCGGAGAGTGTGGAAGGTGTGCAGCAAACCAGAGACAAATTTGCTCGTCTCCCGCGTCTTGCTTCGTTTATTTCCCATGGGTCAGTCGGTAGTCTTGTCTGAAGCGGCATGGTGGGGCACATTGCTATCGGTTGCCCACCTTCTGGAAATTTATGGCCAGCCCTGAGTAGCCCTGAGGCGCGCGCAGCGGAACCGGTGCGGATGGACTCCACCAGCTTGGAGCAGGCGCCGTGGTTTTTGGCCTTGGGGCTTCTGGCCTGGAGCGTTCTCTCCCGGAGCCCAGGCCTTCGGGCCTGCAGGCCGCACGGAAGGACTGAGGAAAGCACTTGGCGAGGCTTTGGGATGGGTCCGGATCTTTTTGTTTCCTGGGTTTGACGATCAGTTTATCGGTCACCCAGAGGTCACCCAGAGTTGTCGTCTTGGCGATTCCCTTTCGAGGCCCGGGAAGCCCGCAGCGACACGTGCCTCTGCAAGGATTAAGGCCAGCATGTTGTGAGTAGTTATGAGTCCGGTCGGCATTGTGCTGGAATTTGCGGCAAGTGGCCGAACAAATGAGTCTGCCACATGCAGAATCGCTTCTCGGTAGACTAGCGTGCAGCGTCCTCTCTGTCTGCCTCTTCCCATTGCCTACCCGCACCCTTTCGGTTATGCTAGCTGTTCCGAGGACGTGTTCGGATTCGGAAGCGGAGACAAGCTTCGAAACGGAGACTTTTTTGCATTCCTGGCGTCTGCAAGCTTCCACATGAGAGATGGCCGAGCTGTGAATGCATTGACTGTGCAGTCCAGATCCATGCTCGGTTAAGCGCACTTTCATGGCCTTGCATAGTTTCCTCACATGGCTTGCGTCTGCTGTTCGTTTGAGCGAGTTTTTGCAGCCCTTGCAGGAGTCGATCTGTTCAAGCAGTGCCATGCTTGCTCGAAACAGTCGCTCGGACTTTTTATCTTGCGGAGGCAACCTCGTTCAAGAATTCTCCGGTGGGGAATCCCGCCGGAGTGCAGCTGCAAGGAGGCCGCATAGAGAGAGAGAGAGAGAGAGTCGCGAGCCCTTCAGGAGAGACCGAGGAGCCCGAGATCGCCGCGACCGTCTCCACGCTTCCAGAACTTGAGATCGCCCTCAGACGCCAGCTTCGACGCTTCGAGCAGGTCGGCACATCATCGGAAGCCGCTGTGGCCTTGTTCTCACACTGTGACATGAAAGCAGGGATCCAAGCATGACGTCGACCTAGATGCAAGCTCTGCCAAACTTGGACGAACTCGTTCTGACAACGTTACTGTTTTCGTCGTCTGAAGCCATGTTGTCATGGAGGCACTACAGGCAACGGAGGCGGATTGCCAGGCTCCCCAGCTGCAAGTAGCATCTCCCTAGCTCAGGGTTTCCGAGCAGCTTGCAACACAAGACCTGCACCGGCCGTGGCTTCTGCGAGGAGCTCCAATGCTACTTCGGCATTGACACCGCGGAGTGTTGCAGGCACAACTCACTGTGATTCTTTTCTGTTGGTTCTCGGTTGGGGGCAAAGGGTATCTTCAATTTCTAAGGTTGTGAAGCAAGTCTTGCTCATTGGCTTGCAGCTGTACCCATCTGACACTCTTCCAGTCCTGAAGCTTCCCACAGGAAAGATTTGAGCACAAATGCCTCCCGACTGCTGGAATCGCTGAGCGCATCTCGGTTTTCCAGAATGGGAGCGGTTGGAATGGAGCCAGGGTTAAAGGGGGAATGCCACCAGCGACTGAAGCCTCGGTTCCTCTTCATTGCCGGACTACAAGTCGCCCCCCGCAAAAGGAGCAGAAGCAGAGCAGATGCAAAATGGGAGCACGGAAGGGCAAGGTTCAGAATACAAAAAAAAAGCATTGGTATCCAAATGCAGCAGAGCAGATGCATCGGAAAGTCGAACGCGGCTCTAAACGGAGCATGAGTCAGGACCGCGGCAGCCACATGTTCGCCATCGGAGTTGCGGATTGCTCGAGAAGATCGGGCAAAGAACTCTACCAGTGAGGCTTTACGTTTTACAGTCAGTTGAGGCAGCCAGCGTTCTTGGCAGCTGGCAGATCATACAGGGGCAACAATCGTCACAGTTCGAAACATAGCAGCACTGAGCGCATCGAGGAGCAACCATCATCGTCGTCGTCATCATAATCATCATCCTCATCATCATTTCCACCATGCAATCAGCACCTTCACCATCATCACAACACAGTAATCGCATCGTTCGTGCTGCACACTCGGTTTCCGATGGTCGGCCATGTGAGACGAATCTATATGTTCTTAAGATGAAGCCAGCACCGAGACAGAGTCGATCGAGAGCTTGCTCTCACGGAGCCAATACCAACGCCAATTCTTTGCTTCTTAAATTCCTCATCAGAGTCACCATGCAAAATGCAAAGCATTCCTGGCAAAATTCTGCACAAGTCTCGCATGAAGAAGGTGCAGCTGAATTTGCTTACAGAAGCAGCCTTCCGAACCCAAATCCAAGGAAGTTGCTGTCCTGGTTCTCCATCAAACACGAAGGCTCACATGCTGCAGACAAGCAGCGACGACGACATCGATCGACAAGTGCAAAGCTTCCGAGGAAGATCTGCTTCTCCGCAGCCGGTTCCAAACAGTTCTGAGGAGCCTCTTGAAGATACCCAGACATCTGGGAGGGATGCTGAAAGTGGAATGCCCTCTACATTTGGGCCCTGGAAACAAGCTACATGTGATGCGCAGGCAATCGTCGTGGGGCAACAACACCCACATCCTGTGATTTCGAGCACATTGTTTTATCTGTTCGGAGCGACGAGTTCATCCGAGTTGATCTATCCAGTTGGTTTGTGCTGCAGTATGCCGCAGTCATGTTTCATGACATCACTGTAGAACCTTCCATAGACGCGTGTGCCTCGAAATCACGGCAGAGCGGGTTTCCCAGCTTGCCAAGCTTCTACAAGAGCCCTATGAGGAGATTGTCTAAGGACTTCGTGGTGCAGATCAGAGGCGCCTGGGAAGACTTGGAGACGCCTGGGCGGCAAACGCAAGAATCGAAGACCACTCATCAGGTTTACAGATACTTGCCCTGAGACACCGTTCTCGAATCTGAAGTTAGCAAATTTCGACTTCAGGAAGCATGCCCAGTCAAAGCACGGGCGGCCTTCGGAGACTCCCCGGAAGACCCCGCGAAAGACGTCCAGGGAAGCCTCGCAGCCTGTCTGCCCGAAGCAAGTTTGTGTGCGAAGGAGGCATTGTCACACTGTTCGCAGGTCATGAGTGTAGAGCAACCCCCCTTCGACGACTCTTGACTGCTTGTTTTGGAGTTTAGGTTATCCATTTGCTGTAGCACGATAGCATAGCGAGATATAGCGAGTGGGATGGCAGTGCAGTGCTTTTGCATTCTGTGAGCGTGGATGAGGCAGTCGTCCCTGCAGCCATCAGTACAGGCCGCCGAGTTTTGTCGCTGTCTCCGTGTTTGCTGACGGATTCAGCTCGAGTCAGGCCTCGCGACCCGGTTTGCAGACCTCAACCCTGCTAGTCATGTACTACCGAGTTAGTTACGGGAGATTCCAGATGTTGTGTTCAGGAGCTGCAGCCCATTCGGCCGGCTGTTGCATCTGTGCCGCAGGCTGTCAGGGTGTGCTGAAGAAGAGGCTGTTGAAGCATATTTACCATGACGAACCCCGGCCGACCTGTTGCCCACATAGCGAACGAACGCTGCTTGCAACATCAACAGATCCGACCCCTGCGTGGCATGGTTGCCACGCAAAGTGATGCTTGTAGTTCATAAAAACGGGTTGGGGCAAGTTGGGAAGTGTGATGCGGGACCGAAGACCGAAGCCCGTGCTTGAAGCGCCCTGCTCCCGCGTTGTGCGCGACTGACATCCGGAAGACATCCCGACATGCAGGATGCTGACCAACTACGTGAGTGGCAGCGGCTCAATCAAATACGGGAGTGGCATCGTCTCATGTCCATGTCCGGGCGTCGGTAATCTTTCCAACTATGGGTAGCTTCATGCAGCCCCACCACCTCCTCCAAGTTTGAAGAGGCAGACTAGACAGACATAACGGGGCTTGGGCCACGGCTTTTGATTGGAGCGGGGTTGTACACTCCTTGAACACCAGGCAATTCACAGTTTTTTGCAGACGTGGCCAAGCGACGACTGAATTGAGAGTGTTTAAACAATAACTTTTTGTGCAGACTCTGCCTCTACAACAGGCATCTTGCAGCTGTCGCAGCGACTGGTCATGGCATCCGCTGATTTGTTCAGCATTGTGGATTAAAAGAACGTCATGTCGTACATTGTGTTATGCCCAAGTTTTGCACGTCGCGTGCCCTGGCCTATGTCACTGTGGCGGAAGCAGGCTGGGCAAGCTCCATTTATGTCGCAATTTGATAGTCTAGATTGGACAGCGAAGAAGTTAGCATGCACATGATCGCGGCTTGACAACCTGGAGAGCTTTTCCTGCCTCAGCATGCTCATGATGTTTATTCCCTGGCAGACAAAGCCGGCTGTTGACAGCGGCTTCAGATGGTCTGTCATCAGACGCTGTCATGTTTGGCCGTCACTTGCACTGGCGGCAAGACCTGCTTTATCGACAAGGGAAGCTCTTACTCGTGGGCCGGAAGCACATCTTTGCATACCTTGCAGGGCTGACAGCTTTTTGGGCACTTTCTTGCTCCAAAGTCTACTCGAAGGTTGCTGCAGTGCAGCATTCGCTATCTGTGTGGAACCGCCGCTGCTGCTGCTCTGCCAGTGTGGTCTTGTTTTGCCGGAACTAGAGCTCAAAGCCGCTTAAACCCCAAACTCCAAAAGCCCCCAGCCCCAAGCTTTGAAAGCCGTATAGCCTGAGCCCATGGTTCCAAATCTGAAGCCCTCAGCCTCAAAACATAAGCACCATAACTTAAATTCTGAACACTCAAGCATGAATCCCGTAAGCTTGAACCGAAGCCTCTACACCACACCCTGAATTCTATGGCAGAGCTGGGTCTCTGTTTCAGAACCCCTCCTCGTTCTCGAATTGAGATGTCCCGTTTCAGTGCAAACAACAAGGTGAGGCGGTGCTTAAGGCCGACCCTCTGATCATGCAGTGTATCAGTGTATACAGCAGCTCAGGAAGGAGAAGACCACATGCAGAACCCATCCCGCCCCTTTGCGAAGTCGCGACATGGACTGTTGCCTAACCCCCCCGTATCCGCGATGAAATGACTTCTGCCGCACTCCTCACATCAACTTGATGCGTGTTTCATTAGTTTCATCGTTACTCGTGGAATGGAGCTGCCTAAAATTTCAGTTCCGACCCTGTGTCTGTACAGCACGAATCTTTCGAATGTGCACCGAAGCCCGCAAGTCACGCATGGACCACCGAGCACGTTCCATCTACCCCGTGTCCCTATGTGTGACAGTGCAATGGGTTCTCCGTGCTGCTGGTGTCCCTTAAAGGAGGCAAGGTTTTTCATAGTTTTCATGTGGCTCGCGGTGCTGTTGGCGCCTGTGTGCCCTTGCGCAGCATGTGGCTGTTAGATGTTGCAAAAAGGACGAAGGCTTTGTGGTCTGCTTGGCAACGCTTTACAGGTTTGCTGACTATGTTGAACGCATGGCTGCTATTCGTCATTGCCTGCTCGGCTCAGCTTGCATACGCATGCCAAGCCGACACCGGTCACTACTTTCAGAGACCAGGACTACACTCCGCCTCTTCCCTGGTACAGGATTGTTTTTCCAGTGGACCGTTTTTTGTGTAACCGTCTTCCTTTCAGAAAGGAGTGTTTTGGCATGTACAATGCCGTAGTTTTTCAAGGATCTAGTCATAGTGATAGCAGCCACAACAGTTCTGCTAATTAAGCGGTAAGCGACTACAAGCCTTCAACACTTAGTTTAATAATTGCTTTCCCGCGCAGCTGTTCTAAAACAAGGCCCGGGTTCTAAAGCATAGTCTTTCGTCCTCTACAAGAAGCACAACAGGAAATGCTAACAGGTGCTATGTACTGTAGCAAACCAAAAACCAAAAAAAACAAAAAACAAACAAACACAAAAATACACCAAACAAAAACAACCCCATAGCTCCGGAGCCGCCCGTTGAGATGGGGTCGGGATTTTTTTTTTTTTTTGGTGGGGGGGTTTGGTCTTGCACAGGTACGCAGCTGCTTGCATCATTGGCATCCGGTGTTCTAGGGGGGTTGAGCCCGCCGCCCAAGCGTCTTGCCGCGCTTGCGCGGGTGCTTGATGTTTTGCGTTTTCCGGCAGATTCGGCTTGTCTGGGCTGGAATTCGCGCGCGCGGGCTCTCAGCATTCTCGGCTCCTGCATGCTCGCCGATTCCGCACAGCTTCCAAATGTTCCTTGTAACTAAAGCTTTCCAGCACAGTTTCCTCTCGGGTGTAGCAGCAGGTCCGCTACGAGAAAGATATCTCCAGCTTTGCCTACTTTAGACCTGAACCCTCAACCCAAACCAACTCACCCAAAGCAGTGCAAGCCCAAACATCCTCAATTCTGAACCCTAAACCTCGTTCACCTCCGGCCCCAAAGCAATGCAACCCCAAATATTCACAGCCGTAGTGGCCCCAAAACTCTTTTCTGCAAGGCTTTCCTCTAGGATGTATTTTGTTGTAAAAAGGCATCCTGAAAAAGCTGCCTCCTCAGCCACGACCAAGGCATTTTCGTACTGCAAACGCCACTAGATTCGTGTGTTACGGCTCCATGCTTATTCTTGAGCTGCGCCGTAGCGTCCGGGCGTAGCGTTTAGGGTTCACGTTTTTGTGTTTTTTGGTGGGGTTCGTGTCGCGACGAATATGACGCTGATTCCGATGACGTGTGTTGGATGTAGCACCCAGCTGCTGTTAGTTCCTGTGTGCGCGCTGCGACAGTAGCAAAACGCCTGTTGCTCTTGCTCATGATGCTCATGTTGCTCCGCCGTTCTATTCATGCATCGTGAGATCTGTCATTGATGTTTTACCGTATCAGAAGCCTTTCCTGGTCAAAAGTATCATTCCCTCGCTTCCTTTTGCTGCTTTCTGCATCATGGCAAATGTGGCGGAGGTCTTGTCTTTTCTCCAGAAAGGACCGGGAGGGAGAGGGAAGTTCTCCGTGCCATTTTGGCTCAAGGATGAGTTTTTTGATACGGGGGTGGTGCCATGGGTTATTTGTTGCTGCCCGATGCTGTGCTTGAAAGCTGGACTTCGCTGAGTGATGCGATGCAGTGGGCAGCAGTCCCGCGAATCTGATGAGATCAGCCGCACGGCAACTCGGAAACCCTGACATGACACAGCTGACTCAGCTAACCTTGTTCGCAGCAGCTCTCGCAGAGGAGTGGAGAGGTGCCGTGACGCAAGCTCAGATCGGTGCCGGAGAGTTTACTGCCTTTGACAAGGGCCAGGTGCGGCTCTTGGTGAATGCAGTGAGAAAGAAGTTTTGGCCTCAACACGGCCTTTGAAGGGTTGCAAGCTCCGCACAGCAGTCCTCAGCAACTTTGCCGGATCCGCTTGTTGTGCCTGCAAACGCACCTCGTGTGAAGCTCAAGTTGAGCCAAGTGGTGGATCGAGCTGCCGATCAAGATTGCGAGATGCTCAGCAGTGTCGAGTTGTTGGCTTAGTTGAGCTGCTTGCGGGCGAAGGTAGAGAGCGGACGGGCACCCTTTCATAGATATGGGGGTGTGGGGCCCGTACGGAGATCGGATTGCTTCAGCGATGAAATTTACTTTTCAGGTTTTGAAGGATGGTCTTTGGAAGCCAACATCCATGCTTGGGAAGAGAGCTGGCGAATTTTCCGCACGGCGTGTGTCATGCTCGACTCTCGACATTGCCAAGCCGGCGGTGTTGGACAGATACAGCGCCGAGTTCCGTAACCGAGTGTCGAAGATGTATGGCGTCTGGCCGCACAGGCGGACGTCCGCTGTAGGAGTGAATGGTTGGGTCAGGAACAACGACGACAGCATTCCTCTCACTTGGCCCATCCATCCTTGGCAGTGTACGACACCAAGCAGCCTTGGAACTCGGTGATCAAAGCAAGCGCTTGCTGCAGTGCCTTCCGGCGCAAAGAGCTTGAACAACCTGCTCCGCGCTACCAGTGCAATTGCCCCAGGGCCATGCCCGCCGTCTCTGAGCCGCCGCCAGATGCGGGCTTCAGGCCTGGCGGGGGCGAGAAGCAGAAGTTTGATCCGCAGCGAAAGGATGGCCATTACTTGATTTCCAAAGGAGGCCTCAACATCTGCTACGATTGGTCTCGCAAGCCAGATGGGTGCAGCACTGACAAGTGTGAGAAGGGCATGGCCCACGTCTGTGAGTGGTGTAGGCAGCCACATTGTTCGATCGATTGCCCGCAAGTCCCAGGTTGGGAACCCGAGGAGAAGAACACAGCATGCCGCGAGGACGCGGAAATGGAAGAGGCAAGGGAGGTCGCGGACGCTCCCAGAGGCGACAGTGAGCACAGGAGGTATCCGCGCGGCTGCCAACATCGGTGGATCTGTCCTTCCTGAAGGGAAGGCTGGAGACACCGCAAGCTAGAACGGCGGCCACACTTGCGGGATCACGCAAGCAGACTTCAGTTAGTCGCAACAGTACGGGGACAGCTACAGGGATTGAGCAGCATGAAGCTGGCTTCCTGGGGCTTTTCAAGCTCCTTGTTGTGGAGCTACGCACCCTACAAGTCTTTGTTGAAACTCGAGGATGTCACACAACTGAAGTGTGACCAGTGTTGCTTCGCTGGCGAGCGCAGGAACTCGACCAAGTGGCTTACTAACACAACGTTTCTTCAAAGTACTGCGGCTCGTTCCTGTCCGGGGCCGCCAGAACATCAACATGGAAAGCTGCAAGGGCGACAAGACGCTGTGCTGGTGTCCGAGTACCCACAAGGACTCTGTGAAACGGTGGCAAAGGCTTACTGGCCTACTGCTAGGCACCGGCTCAGGCGCCGTGCAACTGTCCTAGGGACACTGAGCCGTGGCGTGAAGACGAAGCACTGGCACTGGAGGGCCGCGAGCGCAAGAAAACCGGGCTTGCGAGCCATGCATCGTTCTGTACAGAAGTTGCCTGGATGGAAGACAGTGGGGATGGCGATGAGGCGTTGTCTGGACCAGATGCTTCACGAGAATCCACATCTCCATATGCTCCGAGTGGTTCAGTGAGTCCGTGGGTCAGGACCAGCCCTGTTGCAGTGACGCTGATGTGCGGCTAGTGCAAAGCAAATTGGCTTCAATGCTGAGGCTGCAAGACATACCGCGCAAGCCTGGCTTGTGGTCAGAGCTATTACTACAAGCTTCAGTCCAAGCGATCGGCGATCCAGACCTGCCTGCTGCCAAATGGCCAGATGAAGGAACACCGCTTGGAATCGAAGAAGAAATCCCTGCCAGCGGAGTGTTTCCAGTGTTACCCGCAGAGGAGCAAGGTGGGGAAGCTGCGCGGCTGCACGTCTGGAGTTCTGTCACGAGTTGAGCGGAGCGGAGTTTAACTACAAATCTTACGAAGAGCACCGAGAGCAAGCAGGTATTTTGTTCAGGCAAGAAGTGAAGGTGGGATTTGCTCAAGCAGACGCCGACGAAGCTTGAAAGCCAAGTAGGGCCACTGGTGCCTGCTGCCATAGGCGTAGTGGCCAAACGCAAACCTGGAGGTGGCTGGAAGTACCGCTTATAGCGCACGACCTGCGCAGAAATGGCGTGAACAGCAAGATCAAAGTCCAGGAGCGGCTGGTCTTACCGCGGCTTAAAAACGCCATCGAGGACGCCTTCAAGCAGCTGCCTACAAAGCAAAGTGAACAGCGGTTCTTGGCGGGGCAAGCAGACGGAAAACTGTTCTTTTTGGAGTGCGCGCTGGACCGCGTGTGTGGTGCAGAGTGGCGGCCTTGGTCTCGCGAGCCACCCACAAGCACTAACCAGCTCTTCGGAAAGTCGCCTGGAATTGTTTTTCGATGATCCGTTCATAGCCCTGAAAAGCACGCATCCGGTGGTGCACTGGGCGGCTGCGCGTGTTCTGTGGTGTTGGCTAGCTCTTGGTTTGAAGCTAGCTTGGCCGAAAGGTTCCTTGGGAACCGAAGCGCATTGGACTGGGGCTGTGCCAAAGCCGATCAGACAAAGCAGGCTGTCGAAGTCAGCGCACCGGCAGAAAAGATCGAAGTTTCGCGACAAACAGCAGCTGAGATTTTGCAACGACCGTGGAGCTCACGCAAATCAATCCAGAGATTCGCAGGTAAGATGTGCAAGCGAAACAACTGAAACACGCTTTGACCTGGCTTGTGGCACTTTTTGACGGCGTCAACAACGGTTTTCACCGGACAGCGCTTGCCCACGTACGTCACCAAGTGTGTCTGGACTTTTTAGTTGATGTGTCACCCTGGGGAGGTGGAGCTGTGAAGTCAGTAAATGGCCGCCCAGCAGAGTGTTTTTGCTTGGCGTGGCAAGAGACCGACGAAAGGGCTATCGGTGTTCACATTGGGCGAGCAGGATCTCAAGCGCAGTGGGAAGCCTACGTGGCCCTAAGGGCCTTGTAGAAGTGGCTAACAGCTGAGCTGGAAGGCCAGATCAGGATTCGAGGCGATGCTGCTGGTGGCTTGCACAGCTTCGTGAAGCGGAGCAGCAGGTCGTTGTTTCTTTCAAGGATAGTGCGAGCGTTGCCTTGCACTTAGCCCTGACGCGCAGATCGCTGGAAGCGGTTCCCTTGTGTCTAGAGTCGCAGATCCTCGAAAGCCTGCAGGCAGCGGTGCCGCCGGAGTTGCGGCATCTGCCTTTGCGCAGACAAGGGCCTGTGCTGCGGCGGACGCTCCAGCTTGTCGGGCAAACACACGGTCTGGCAAGAACCGTAGTGTGCTTACTGTGTTGCGCACAGTCAGTGTTGACCCCTTGGAAGCCGTTTAGGCGACGACTGGAGCAAGGACTGCCCACGCACACCTGACATGTTTCGGCTCAGGGTTTGCAGAGTGCTTGCTTGGAGTGTTGCTTTTGGTGCGAATTGTACTCACTCGCCGATCTGCCCGCTACTTCTGCAGGCCTGTTTTTTGGTTTAGGCAGCACGCCGCAATGTAGCAAGAGACTCTCCCCGAAGGCCAAGGAACGGCTTGGAGCGGGCTTCTTGTTCCACCCTCGGCGCTAAACTCTGCACCAGTCCTCCGTACTACCGTCCAATTGGTGGATGCGGTGAAACCTTTTACTGCACTCTCTGCTTACGCCCCGTGGATGTGCCTGTGTTTTGTCAAGCGATGATGGCCCCTTTCATCAACAGTACCGCGAATTGCATGCCTGCCCGTCCGTAGTGGCAGTCGCGAGCAGTACAACATATGCGGAGGGAGGTGAGAACGGCTGGAGAGCTGAGCCTGGAGTGATGCCTTACAGTAGGGGCTCTGAGGCCCTTGTGAGCCAAATTGAGAGAGACCCAGCAGCTTTGTCTCAGGCAATGGAAGAATTTGCCAATGACAAGTTTGCCTCCTCAAACATTGGGAACGCGAACTCACGCCAAGCTTGGTGGGCGCGCCGGTCTGTCGTTGGGGAAGCGACACTGTTTTACGATATTTGAGGGACGTGCCTCTAAGGATCAGAGAAATGGTTGCCTGCCAGTTTGCAGAAGAACGTTTCTGTGGGAGAAGTGCAAGTCCAGACCGCAAAAACTCTGTCCAGTCAAGACGGGTCCTATGTCCACCTCAAGGAGGCAGTCGATGAGCAAATCACGAAAGCCCTGGAGCCGCGAGTCACCCAATTGCTGTGCGCGTTTGAACAGAGAGGTGAAAGAGCTGAAGCAGACACGAGAAGTGCGTGGAGCATTGAATGGCAGAGGCATTTCCTGCCTCGTTTCGTTGTCAACTGGGCAAGTTGCATCGTTCACGCAGTCAGGGATGAATCGCTCGCTTCCTGTGGCTACGAGTACAGAGTAACACTGCTGCGAGCTTTCCCCGTTGGGTGCACACAATGCACAGCAGCCAGACGCTTGCAAGAGTTCGCTAAGTGAGAAAGTTGGCAGTGCACCTTCGCCCGCCCGGAAAGTGGGATAAGGGGATTGATTCTCCTTCCCTGCTGCGTGGCAGGTCCGAGGCTGGCAAGTTGCACCCCAACCAGCTGCGGCAGCAGAGGCCTGGTGTGTCAGGGAGCCCTGACATACCCTGACTGTAGATGTCAGTGCAGCGTGTTTCCATCCTTTTCGTTGAAGAAAAGTTGGACGGGGTGGGAGTGACACACATGTCTGTTAATGAGCAGGTGTTTGTCTTCGCTGGTCTGTCTTGTTCGTGTGTTTATGGTGGAAAGGCCAAGGCCTAGGATGTGGGCTGTAAGTTTTCGAAACTCTTTTGCAGCAGTGTCACCGCAGCAGAAACGTTTGAGGAGTAACGACGATCTCTTCAGTGTGCATGACTCGTTTACTTTGTCACGGCTTGTCGCGGTTTGACGACCTTACATGGTATGGCGTGCGTCTGTCTTTGCCCCCGTACTCCACCAACTTTCGCCAGCTCGGTTTCATGCTGTTTGGCTTCATCACGGTTGTCTTCACATCTTCAGCGCTCCGGCCTTTTTGCTGTCCGATTCGTTGATTTCTGATTTTGCACGAGTTCTTGCGTGTTGGTGTGCCTGAGCTATTATTGCCCAGTGTTCTCGCCCTGCAGGTCAACGTCAGTCTTCTCGACAAAGGTTTGGTTCTGTCTTGTGCTGTCTTGATCGAGGTATTAGATTCTGGATCCGTCTCTGTTTCCTTTTCCACACGCCTTTGTAGTTCTCTAAATTAGGGTCCCTTTTAGGGTCCTGTTTATAAGGGTGCCGTACTATTTTGGGGACCTAAAAGGGGCCCTAATTTAGAGAACTACCGATTTGATTCTCATAGTCAGTACACGTCCGTGCGTTCTGTTTCTGTTCATTCTCGTTCAGAACTGACTTCTAATCGGTTCTCCTACAGTTATATTCCATCAATGTACATGTTGTTCTTTGCGCATACCCCTTGCAACTACCATGCAAGCCTCGCTTTGGGTGCATCGGTCCCGGGGAGGTTCCGGGACCAGTTCGGGAATCTGGAACTCAGTGCTGGGACAGCCGAAGTTGCGCCGAAAGTACTTTAATTTGTTTCCCAGGGCTCCAAAATGCATTGTTCAATTGGCAAACGTGGCCTAGTCTCCGAACCCAAATCGAGCCACCGAAGCCACCGACCAAGCCCAAATGCATTTTCCAAGGCCTGCTAAACGCATTTAGCCCTGGTTTCAAACGCTCTGGAGCTGGATACCGTGCCTAAGCCCGAAATACGTGTTGCAAATGCTTTGATGTGATTTCCAGGGCTCCACCATTTGGCTTCTCCGTTTCTCCGTTTCAACAAATCTGGAGCTCAATGCTGTCCCTACACCCGAAAATGCAGCCACCCACTAGAATCAGTTCCGGAGCTCCGACCAAACCCCAATGCATTGTCCGAGGCCTCCTAAACGCATGCGGCCCTAGTTTCTGCAAAACTGCCGTTCAATGCCGCCCCCACGTCCGAACAAGTTTTAAGTTGTGCTGATCCAGCGACAACCCATGCGCTGCTCAGACTGAGCCCTCGGAGTTTTGCACAAAACCTCAATGCATTTTCCGAGGCCTTATGGGCCTTATGTTCAGTTCAATGCCGGGCCGAGCATAGACAACCCATCTACAGCTCTGTCAGTTTTCCTCGTGCCCTGTAATGTGAGCCCAACGACAAATGTTCAATAGGGTTAATATCTTTAGCTGAGTTGGTGTCGCCGAGTACGCAGTGTCAGTCACTGCAGCGACGACGAGCCCAAGACGATGGACAGGTCCCATAGTGGACTGGAGAAAGGACGACAGGAACTTCGCCGCTGTTTTGGACGGCAAGCCGGAGACATTTGCGGATTTGGTTGTCGAGCACTGACTGCATTCAAACCACAGCACCTTGGTCTAGCTGGGCAAGACAGAGGTCAGTGTAGGGCAAGATAGAGGTCAGTGTAGACAACCTTCTGAAGTTTTTTCTAAGAAGCCCCTGAGTAGCAGCCTGTGCCTGACGCCGCGAACAAAGTGAACAAAGTTGTTGGATGCTACGGACGGCTTCGGAATAAGCCGCGCGAAGCGTTGCCCACTTACCTGGACCATCCAATGACTTTTTGCGGGCTCTGCGAAGGCTTCTTCGTGAAAGAGGTCGGCCTTCAAGGCTTACGAGGCCACGATCGGGGAAACCCCCCACGCTGAAGAATCCGAGAGGAAGCAAGGAAGGCGTGGTGTTTTAGAAAGCTCTCGTCAAACTTTACAAAGCCTTAGTAAACTGCACCATCCAAACTTTTCACAAATTCTTCCAAAGCCATTAAGACACAACCTAAAGTCACGAAGACCTATACCCCAATGCCTCCTTGTTGAAAAGCCTGTAAGACGAAGCCGTTGCGGTGCGCGTGGAGATGTCATGCCTGCGGCGAAGTCAAAGAGACACCCTGCAAGGCGATGATTATACACGGATGATCAGGCCTTCACAGCTTCTAGGATCAGGGTTTCCGTGTGTAAGCCCAGACAGCCCCATTAATTATTGGTTGAGGAGTGCTCCTTACACGACATAAGGTTTCTCATTATGGTTCAAGAAGTATTCCGTAGTTGAGGGCCGGGGGTTATTTACAGTGCAATCATGTGGCGTCTCTTTTCTCGATCCAGCAGATGCAAGCAGCAGAAATGCAACCGAGCAGAACACATGCCTTCGAAAGACAAAGTATATGCGATAGGAAATGGCTGGAGTAATGCAGCTGTCGAGTTCGGTTCGACAGCTGATGCCTTGTTGGTGGTCAGCCGTCGGCCTCGAGCCGTGTTTCTGCTTGTCGAGTCGATGGCACGCACGCCGCAGATCTGGTTGCTGCCGATTTGTGGCCCGCATCAGCCGGCCCGCGTCAGCCACCCAGAA